AACAGGCTTATAATCTTTTAAATTGATTATTGCTATTTTTCCAGTACTCAAATTGTTGTTTAAATTGCAGTGAGATATCCTGTTTACAAAGTAAACCAAAAAAGATGCTTATTGTTTCCTGCAAAATTAATACCAGTCTACACAATGTTTTTTTCTGCTGGGATTTAGCAAAACATATCAATGAATGTGGTCATCTCTTAAAGGAAACTTGTACAGAGAGAGAGTGAGGGGTTGGGTTATTCATCGCACAATCCCATGCAATGATATTTGTTAGGATTGCACCTTGAATTATATGTTTGTCTGTTATATAAAGATTTTTTGTAAATAATAAAATATAATACATCTGTAACGTACCTGGTTGGGGATGCCTGACGTGGAGAGAAGGCGTCCTCTTACGATTCCCGCTCAGAGCCCCCTGATAGTGGGAACAGAGGGCGCAGAGCCAGGAGTGGCACGAGGTGTGCCGAGTGGATCTGGAGTTGGCGGCAGGTAGCTGAAGACCCAGGAGATCCAGATGCAGGCCAGGTGCGGATGCAGGAATGTAGGTGCAGCAGCAGGCAGGTATAGTGGCAATCGGATGCAGACTGGGACTGGACACCGGAGTATGTATGGCACACGTCAGGATGCAAGCCAGATGCAGGACCGTGGGTGGGTGCAGTGGCAGGTAAGTATGGCACACGTCAGGATACAAAACCAGATGCAGGACCAGGGGTGCAGCGGCAGGTAAGTATGGCACACGTCAGGATACAAGCCAGATGCAGGACCGTGGGTGCAGCGGCAGGTAAGTATGGCACACATCAGGAGGCAAGCCAGATGCAGGACCTTGGGGCAGCGGCAGGTAAGTATGGCACACGTCAGGATGCAAGTCAGATATAGAACCCCATGGGTGCAGCGGCAGGTAAGTATGGCAGCCGTCAGGATGCAAGCCAGGTGCAGGTAAGTAGATACAGTCGACAAGCCGGGTCAGTATTAAGCAGGCAGATCAAGTACAAGGGAGCAGGCAAGCGGATGGTCAGGGATAGCAGAGGTCGGTGCAGGCGGAGTTCTTTCTTAGTCAGGGTCAGATCAGAACACAGCAACAGGATCAGGTAATAGTGCAGTGATGTTATAGACCAGAAGGCATTGATTGTACTGTATTGCAGGTTTAAATAGCCCACCTACCGGTGACGCGGACTCTACTGTACATGCGCGCACTTCCGCGCTTCTGCGCATGCGCACCTGCATGCTCCCAACTTGCGCATGCGCACTCACACCGCTGTTACCCGAAGGGATCTGTCACAGTCGCAAAGCTGCACGACGACAGGGTCCCTGACAAAATCGGTTATAAGGACAATCAAAATAATTAGGGTAAAATTGAGGGACTGTAAAAACAGGTAGTTGACCTGCATTTTTACTGACATACAACCACCCTCTGTTTAAAAGGATAAGTTCACCTTTAGGTAAAAAAATAATAAAAGCACATATTTTTGCATGTAAAAATGTACATTTATTGTTTTTTTTTTACAGAGCAGTCTATAAAGTACCGTACCCCATGATCAGTGGATTATAGGTGCAATGTCAGGTTCCTGAACACTTTCCCTCCAGTTTTCTGCCCATACCTCCATATGGGCTTTCAGTTAGAAAGCTAAAGGAAGTGTCAATAGACCCACGAGTGTGACGATCCATTTAAGAACTACAAGCTGTCTGTTGGGGTGGCTGACAAGACTTGTAGTACCCTCTCTGTGAACAAACGACGAGGCTGTTCGGATTGGAGCTCCGCACAGCTGCAACCAATTTTAAATGTGATAAAATATCATAAATATTACAATAAAAATTACAACAAAACTATAAACATAGGTGGAAATAATAAAATAATCCAACACAAATATATTGAAATGTCCGTATTAACTCCTTGATTCTCTGCAGTCACTGTAGTTCAATAAATCAAGTGCATTCAATTCACCTCTGGTGTCTGTTATCAATTCAACATTTGTGCACCCGCACCTGTTGTGCTCTCACCTTAAATATATGACCAAACTGTTAAGTGAGGTCATATAAAGACTGTGTCCCTTTAATGGGTCAAATATGGATGGGATTGGTATCAGGTCTAGATCCCCTTCAATCCTCTAGTTGCTCTCCTCCATCGGTTACAATGTCAAGAGAAATAAGCAGAACATAGTGTTTTATCCTTATAACAAGCATTTATTTGTACTAAAAATGTTCCACTCACATGTGCATTATATAAATGCACTTAAAATGTGCAGTATATAAATTGCACCTTCTCTTCTACGTTTGGCATTTTGTGGGGGGTAGCAGGTACCTGGTTTTGACAGGGAAACCACTCCTACTTCCAGTTGGGTCACTGCAGTAATTCCATCTGAAGATCTCCCCACCACACCAGCAACCTTCTGAATACATCACAGGTCTCAGAAGGTTGCAGGACCATTCACAAAGTGCAGCTCGCACATGTGGAGTTGGAAGTCGGTTGTAAAGCTGCAAGAAATCACAGCCGGCGCTTGGCACCCGAAGACCGGTGAAAAACTGGTCCAGGTAAGGACACCAACAAACTGAACTTCAAACAAACTGAAGTCCTCTTTAAGCCATATCTGTGCACTTCCTGTTTGCCAGATTATTGTGCTCTCTCCAGCTGATATCTTGCTCCTTGTATACCTGCAAATGTCAGTTTTTGCACTGCCACCTGTTACCGACATTTCGCTTATTCCTTGACTATGCTTCTGCTTGATTCCAACCTGCAAATATTTGTTACTGACCTTTGGCTTGTTCCTTGACTATGCCTCCACTTGATCCCAATCTGCAACCACGTTACCAACCTTTGACATGATTATGAACTATGCTTCTGCTTGATCCCAGCCTGCAACATCTGTTACCAGAAGACCCCAGCTTGCTCACCTCCTGGTGGGGAGATCCTGAGGACCTCAACCTGGCACTAGCATGCAACAAAAACCATCTCCACCATCAGAGGCTCTGGTGAAGACAGACTAGTGCTTAGACCCCACACCCCTTGGGTGAGCCCGCATCATCTGCCAGGTTGAACTGCTCATGTACTTTCCATGCTGGTTGGTGGGAGCGTCTCTACTTTTATAGCTACTGGTATCTGAGTCTGACCCCTGACCATGACAAATACAAACAACAGTTTATTTTTGACAATCCAATATATGCTTACTTGAAGAACCTCTTTCCATACTGTGACTGCTGCCTGCCTTAGGGCCATCTCTTTCCACATCTCCCTGGATTCCTTGCATGCTTTGCAGTGTCTCCCCTGCTGTTTATTTTCAATTTCTAAGGATTACATATCCCAGGGTACCTGCAGGCAGTGATATTGCCTGCAGGCAGTGATATTGACCTCGCCTCCTGATACTCCTTCTCTTTGCATTCCTCTAGGAGCAGGGGCGGACTGACCTCCATCCACAGCAGGCTGCCTATAGGATAAAAAAAAGGAGGGGGGTGGATGCATGAACAGTCACCAGGCACAAGGAAAGAGAACAGGAAGAGACAGGTCTTTATTAAAGGACACTCCTACATAGGAGCAAGATGAAGGCAAGAAGAAGATCCAAGAACTCTGCCTAGATTGTGGGGACCATGATCACTTTGTTGCCAGCTGCCCCAATAAGCTGGCAAACACCAAGAGTCTAGTGCGGGTGGGGTCTGCTTCTAGACCATACAGTGCTAGGTTCCCCCAAGACAAACTCTTTGTTCCTGAGCAACTTTGCACTGCGTCGTTCTCTCACCAGCTTGCAGCTTTCATAGATTCTGGTGCCACTAGCAATTTCATTGACAGTAACCTAGCACACTGTCTACAGATTCCCTTGACAAACGTGCATTGACCTTTTTCAGTCTTAGCTGTTGATAACTCTCCCTTGTCCATGGACCTGGTCACCTTGTGCATTGTACCTATTACTCTGACCATTGGGGAACTTCATAGTGCCAAGGTACCCAGTGTCAGGGCTCCACCCACAAATAACAGTACATACAAGCAAGCGTCGTCAGGCAGGCCGGGTCAATATCAATAGGGCAGGTAGGTACAGGGGGAGCAAGCGGAGATTGGTCAGGGTCACAAGCCAGGGATCAGAACAGGTAGCAAGCAGCGTGGTACAGAGGGTCAGACAGAGGGATGGTCAGGAGCGAGCCGGGATCAGAGCAGGAGAGCGGTCAGCAGGAGCGGTTCAGAAACAGGATGCAGGACAGAAACAGGATACAGGGCCCAGGACAAACACACACCAAGGCAGAGTCTGTGGGTCTGGCCATCCCTTAAATACCCCAGCATAATCAGTTACAGGTGTTAGCTGGCTGCAAAGTTGAGTCTCTGATTGCTGGGAACACCCGCTGGCCAGCCCTGGTACTGCAGATCAAAAGGCAGGTGAGTCCCACCATAGCTGGCCAGTCCATTCCTGACAGTACCCCCCCCCCCTCAAGGAGCGGCCTCAGGACGCTCCAAACAGTCCTAGCTGGGAAAAATGTTCCACCGCCCGGGTCTGGTAACTGGCGGGATATCAAAGACTGGCACACCGGGCAGGACTCCGGGCAGCGGTACACCGGGCAGAGGCACATCGGGCTGGACTCCGGGCAGAGGCACATCGGGCTGGACTCCGGGCAGAGGCACATCGGGCTGGACTCCGGGCAGAGGCACATCGGGCTGGACTCCGGGCAGAGGCACATCGGGCTGGACTCCGGGCAGAGGCACATCGGGCTGGACTCCGGGCAGAGGCACATCGGGCAGGACTCCGGGCAGAGGCACATCGGGCTGGACTCCGGGCAGAGGCACATCGGGCTGGACACCGGGCTCCGGGCAGAGGCACATCGGGCAGAACTCCGGGCAGAGGCACATCGGGCGCAGGACCCCCCCGGGCAGAGGCACATCGGGCAGCGGCAGCAGGGCCCCACGGGGCGAGGCACAGGCACAGGGGCCCCCAGGCGGGCGACAGGCATCGGGCCCCCAGGGGGGCGACAGGCAGGGCAGGCGGGGCGACAGGCATCGGACCCCCAGGCGGGGCGACAGGCACCGGGCCCCCAGGCGGGGCGACAGGCACCGGACCCCCAGGGCGGGGCGACAGGCACCGGACCCCCAGGCGGGGCGACAGGCATCGGACCCCCAGGCGGGGCGACAGGCATCGGGACCCCAGGCGGAGCGGCGGGCGCCGGGACCCCCAGGCGGGAGCGACAGGTCTCGGGCCCTCAGGCGGAGCGAACAGGCATCGGACCCCCAGGCGGGCGACAGGCATCGGGCCCCCCAGGCACGACAGGCACCGGTCCCAAGACTGGCGGGCGACAGGCAACTGGCGGAACAGCCCCACCGAGTCGTCTGGCAAGACTGCGGGCCCCCACCGAGTCGTCTGGCAAGACTGCGGGCACCGAGTCGGGGGACTGGCGGAACAGCGGGCACCGAGTCGTCTGGCAAGACTGCGCGGGCACCGAGTCGTCTGGCACCGGGCACCGAGTCGTCTGGCAAGACTGCGGGCACCGAGTCGTCTGGCAAGGCGGACTGCGGGCACCGAGTCGTCTGGCAAGACTGCGGCACCGAGTCTGGGCACCGAGTCTCTGGCAAGACTGCGGGCACCGAGTCAGGCACTGGCAAGACTGCGGGCACCGAGTCAGTCTGGCAAGACTGGCGGGGGGCACCGAGTCAACTGGCAAGACTGCGGGCACCGAGTCGTCTGGCAAGACTGCGGGCACCGAGTCGTCTGGCAAGACTGCGGGCACCGAGTCGTCTGGCAAGACTGGCAAGACTGCGGGCACCGAGTCGTCTGGCAAGACTGCGGGCATCGAGTCGGAGGCAAGACTGGCATCGAGTCGTCTGGCAAGACTGCGGGCACCGAGTCGTCTGGCGGGCAAGACTCGGGCAAGACTGCGGGCACCGAGTCGTCTGGCAAGACTGCGGGCACCGAGTCGTCTGGCAAGACTGCGGGCATCGAGTCGTCTGGCAAGACTGCGGGCATCGAGTCGTCTGGCAAGACTGCGGGCACCGAGTCAACTGGCAAGACTGCGGGCACCGAGTCAACTGGCAAGACTGCGGGCACCGAGTCGTCTGGCAAGACTGCGGGCACCGAGTCGTCTGGCAAGACTGCGGGCACCGAGTCGTCTGGCAAGACTGCGGGCACCGAGTCGTCTGGCAAGACTGCGGGCACCGAGTCGTCTGGCAAGACTGCGGGCACCGAGTCGTCTGGCAAGACTGCGGGCACGAGTCGTCTGGCAAGACTGCGGGCACCGAGTCGTCTGGCAAGACTGCGGGCACCGAGTCGTCTGGCAAGACTGCGGGCACCGAGTCGTCTGGCAAGACTGCGGGCACCGAGTCGTCTGGCAAGACTGCGGGCACCTGGAAGACTGCGGGCACCGAGTCGTCTGGCAAGACTGACTGCGGGCACCGAGTCAACTGGCAAACTGCACTGGGCACCGAGTCGTCTGGCAAGACTGCGGGCACCGAGTCGTCTGGCAACTGGGCAAGACTGCGGGCACCGAGTCGTCTGGCAAGACTGCGGGCACCGAGTCGTCTGGCAAGACTGCGGGCACCGAGTCGTCTGGCAAGACTGCGGGCACCGAGTCGTCTGGCAAGACTGCGGGGGCACCGAGTCGTCTGGCAAGACTGCGGGCACCGAGTCGTCTGGCAAGACTGCGGGGCACCGAGTCGTCTGGCAAGACTGCGGGCACCGAGTCGTCTGGCAAACACTGCGGGCACCGAGTCGTCTGGCAAGACTGCGGGCATCGAGTCGTCTGGAACAGCGGGCACCGAGTCGTCTGGCAAGACTGCGGGGCACCGAGTCGTCTGGCAAGACTGCGGGCACCGAGTCGTCTGGCAAGACTGCGGGCACCGAGTCGTCTGGCAAGACTGCGGGCACCGAGTCGTCTGGCAAGACTGCGGGCACCGAGTCAACTGGCAAGACTGCGGGCACCGAGTCAACTGGCAAGACTGCGGGCACCGAGTCAACTGGCAAGACTGCGGGCACCGAGTCAACTGGCAAGACTGCGGGCACCGAGTCGTCTGGCAAGACTGCGGGCACCGAGTCGTCTGGCAAGACTGCGGGCACCGAGTCGTCTGGCAAGACTGCGGGCACCGAGTCGTCTGGCAAGACTGCGGGCACCGAGTCGTCTGGCAAGACTGCGGGCACCGAGTCGTCTGGCAAGACTGCGGGCACCGAGTCGTCTGGCAAGACTGCGGGCACCGAGTCGTCTGGCAAGACTGCGGGCACCGAGTCGTCTGGCAAGACTGCGGGCACCGAGTCGTCTGGCAAGACTGCGGGCACCGAGTCGTCTGGCAAGACTGCGGGGGCACCGAGTCGTCTGGCAAGACTGCGGGGCACCGAGTCGTCTGGCAAGACTGCGGGCACCGAGTCAGCACTGCGTCTGGCAAGGCAAGACTGCGGGCACCGAGTCGTCTGGCAAGACTGCGGGCACCGAGTCGTCTGGCAAGACTGCGGGCACCGAGTCGTCTGGCAAGACTGCGGGCACCGAGTCGTCTGGCAAGACTGCGGGCACCGAGTCGTCTGGCAAGACTGCGGGCACCGAGTCGGCAAACTGCGGGCACCGAGTCAACTGGCAAGGACTGCGGGCACCGAGTCGTCTGGCAAGACTGCGGGCACCGAGTCGTCTGGCAAGACTGCGGGCACCGAGTCGTCTGGCAAGACTGCGGGCACCGAGTCGTCTGGCAAGACTGCGGGCACCGAGTCGTCTGGCAAGACTGCGGGCACCGAGTCAACTGGCAAGAACTGCGGGCACCGAGTCGTCTGGCAAGACTGCGGGCACCGAGTCGTCTGGCAAGACTGCGGGCACCGAGTCGTCTGGCAAGACTGCGGGGCACCGAGTCGTCTGGCAAGGACTGCGGGCACCGAGTCGTCTGGCAAGACTGCGGGCACCGAGTCGTCTGGCAAGACTGCGGGGCACCGAGTCGTCTGGCAAGACTGCGGGCACCGAGTCGTCTGGCAAGACTGCGCGGGCACCGAGTCGTCTGGCAAGACTGCGGGCACCGAGTCGTCTGGCAAGACTGCGGGCACCGAGTCAACTGGCAAGACTGCGGGCACCGAGTCAACTGGCGGCAAGACTGCGGGCACCGAGTCGTCTGGCAAGACTGACTGCGGGCACCGAGTCGTCTGGCAAGACTGCGGGGCACCGAGTCGTCTGGCAAGACTGCGGGCACCGAGTCGTCTGGCAAGACTGCGGGCACCGAGTCGTCTGGCAAGACTGCGGGCACCGAGTCGTCTGGCAAGACTGCGGGCACCGAGTCGTCTGGCGGAACAACGCGGGCATCCGAGTCAACTGGCAAGAACAGCGGGCACCGAGTCGTCTGGCAAGACTGCGGGCACCGAGTCGTCTGGCAAGACTGCGGGCACCGAGTCGTCACAAGACTGCGGGCACCGAGTCGTCTGGCAAGACTGCGGGCATCGAGTCGTCTGGCAAGACAGCGGGCACCGAGTCGTCTGGCAAGACTGCGGGCACCGAGTCGTCTGGCAAGACTGCGGGGGCACCGAGTCGTCTGGCAAGACTGCGGGCACCGAGTCGTCTGGCAAGACTGCGGGCAACTGCGAGTCGTCTGGCAAGACTGCGGGCAACTGCGGGCACCGAGTCGTCTGGCAAGACTGCGGGCACCGAGTCGTCTGGCAAGACTGCGGGCACCGAGTCGTCTGGCAAGACTGCGGGCACCGAGTCGTCTGGCAAGACTGCGGGCACCGAGTCGTCTGGCAAGACTGCGGGCACCGAGAGTCAACTGGCGGAACTGCGGGCACCGAGTCGTCTGGCAAGACTGCGGGCACCGAGTCGTCTGGCAAGACTGCGGGCACCGAGTCGTCTGGCAAGACTGCGGGCATCGAGTCAACTGGCAAGACTGCGGGCATCCGAGTCGTCTGGCAAGACTGCGGGCACCGAGTCGTCTGGCAAGACTGCGGGCACCGAGTCGAGTCAACTGGCAAGACTGCGGGCACCGAGTCGTCTGGCAAGACTGCGGGCACCGAGTCCGAGTCGTCTGGCAAGGGCACTGCGGGCACCGAGTCGAGTCGTCTGGCAAGACTGCGGGCACCGAGTCGTCTGGCAAGACACTGCGGGCACCGAGTCGTCTGGCAAGACTGCGGGCACCGAGTCGTCTGGCAAGACTGCGGGCACCGAGTCGTCTGGCAAGACTGCGGGCACCGGCACCGAGTCGTCTGGGCAAGACTGCGGGCACCGAGTCGTCTGGCAAGACTGCGGGCACCGAGTCGTCTGGCAAGACTGCGGGCACCGAGTCAACTGGCGGAAGACTGCGGGCACCGAGAGTCGTCTGGCAAGACTGCGGGCACCGAGTCGTCTGGCAAGACTGCGGGCACCGAGTCGTCTGGCAAGACTGCGGGCACCGAGTCGTCTGGCAAGACTGCGGGCACCGAGTCGTCTGGCAAGACTGCGGGCGGGCACCCGAGTCGTCTGGCAAGACTGCGGGCAACTGGCGGACCGGGGCAGAGTCAACTGGCGGAACAGCGGGCACCGAGTCAACTGGCGGAGACTGCGGGCACCGAGTCGTCTGGCAAGGCACTGTCGTCTGGCAAGACGAGCGGGCACCGAGTCGTCTGGCAAGACTGCGGGCACCGAGTCGTCTGGCAAGACTGCGGGCACCGAGTCGTCTGGCAAGACTGCGGGCACCGAGTCGTCTGGCAAGACTGCGGGCACCGAGTCAACTGGCGGAACAGCGGGCACCGAGTCGTCTGGCAAGACTGCGGGCACCGAGTCGTCTGGCAAGACTGCGGGCACCGAGTCGTCTGGCAAGACTGCGGGCACCGAGTCGTCTGGCAAGACTGCGGGCACCGAGTCGTCTGTCTGGCAAGACTGCGGGCACCGAGTCGTCTGGCAAGACTGCGGGCACCGAGTCGTCTGGCAAGACTGCGGGCACCGAGTCGTCTGGCAAGACTGCGGGCACCGAGTCGTCTGGCAAAGACTGCGGGCACCGAGTCGTCTGGCAAGACTGCGGGCACCGAGTCAACTGGCGGAACAGCAGGGCACTGAGAGTCGTCTGGCAAGACTGCGGGCACCGAGTCGTCTGGCAAGACTGCGGGCACCGAGTCGTCTGGCAAGACTGCGGGCACCGAGTCAACTGGCAAGACTGCGGGCACCGAGTCAACTGGCAAGACTGCGGGCACCGAGTCGTCTGGCAAGACTGCGGGCATCGAGTCAACTGCAAGAAGACTGCGGGCATCGAGTCAACTGGCAAGACTGCGGGCACCGAGTCGTCTGGCAAGACTGCGGGCACCGAGTCGTCTGGCAAGACTGCGGGCACCGAGTCGTCTGGCGGAACAGCGGGCACCGAGTCAACTGGCGGACAGCGGGCATCCGAGTCAACTGGCACGACAGTGGGCACCGAGTCATCAGGCAAGGCTGCGGGCACAGAGTCAACAGGCACGGT